CGAGACCAGCGGAGGTCGCTCGTGGGGCGCCGCCCGGGGTATCGGCTGGAACGGAACAGGCGCCATCTGCCGGCCAACATCGGCACTGGCGACAGAGGGCAGCACCAGAGGTGAGCGAGCGCGGCATGGCGCTCGCGACCCGCCGACAGAGGACAGCACCGTACGTGTGGACGGACGAGGGCGTCCGGTGCTCGTGGCCCGCCTGCGGGTCGGGCGGTACGCCGAGCGCATAGGAGAAGGAGCTTGCCGAAGCCGCGCATGGACGTGAGACCACAGTCGTGCGTAGGCCGGGTATGGCACCAGTCCATTCATCACGAGGCCACGACGCCTTCACGCCGTGTTTTCCGAAGAAATACCGTCCACATTGTCGCTTCATGTCTAGTAGCCTCCCCACGTCAAGCCCGTCGCCCCGGCAGTGTGCCTGGGCCGGGCGATGGGAACCACATGTGACGAAACAACCTCACTCATAATTATTGTTGGAAGCCTTTAGGTGGAAATATTGCCCTAGACCGCACAGTTCTCTGTTTAGTAAACGTGCTCTTATAAGCCTCGAGCGGTGGTAATGGCTGGCAATCACTCCTCGTTAAATCCTTGGAATGTTGGTGACGTAAAAACTGTGGTTCGCAGTTTCAAAAAAAAAATGACATGCTGCCAACATATCAGCGCATCTATTACATATTATATATATATATATATATATATATATATATATTATATATACAACCTATAACTACTGCCTTATCTAAATGCATGATATTTACGCGAAAGTACTTACCAACTTACAGTCACAGCTTACAGCCAACAACTAAACCCCCCGCGTGGCTAACAGACGTACTGTCAAACGTCTTGAGACCCTGTTGATTAGAAATAACAAGCTAGGAGTATTCGAAAACGATTATAGAACAACCCGCATTGTAATGTCCTTCAACACGAAAACGCCCTGGGTCGTCCCCACGAAGACGTCACCGTGCGACTGCAAAACATAGTCCCGATTAGTTCCGAATGCCAATCCCTGCTGTTACATCGCGCTGACACCGTAAGTTGGAATCGAAAACGATTATAATTTATATTCTTACCATGTCTTGACTGTGCTTTAGTGGCACTGCTCGACATTATTATCAGGCATCATATCCTGAGGTTTTCCTAGAGTATGTTTTGACATATGCACAAAGCGGCACAGTTCCTTTAACACCAACGGAATGTCAAAAATGCGACTTGCATGCGTCAGCAGGTTAGGGCTGTGTAGAAGAGAGAAGAAACATACATCCGACAACATTTGAGTACTGTCACCTTGCAGGTCATTTCTATTGCATAATCGACTGTCCAGGCCGTGGGTATACATGCTGTTTAACAACGTGTTAACAGCCAAGCGAAACATGTGCAGATAATTCAAGGCATCTGGTTGTGAAGCAACGCATGACATTTCGTCATGACTCAATTGATTTCATTCACCAACCGCCTTCCATCGCCATTGTCACTGCTTCTGTAAACAAAGATACGCATCAGGTACAGATATACCTGCATTTTCTATGACAACGGATGTCGCAAGGAGTGTTTTTCTCAGCGTGCGACAAACTCTGAGCGATTATTTCCGCTAAGATCACGCAGCACAAAATCCCTCAGCCGGACAGATCAAAAGCTCGCACAACGTATCCTTCTTAATGGGTGGGCGTATCCATAAGCCGAGTACGATTCGTAGTGACAGCGGCTGGCGGCTCCATACGGAATGGGCGTAGGTGACGTAGTTGTAGCCGACAGAACGTCCGTGGCGGGCGTAGCCGGATCCGTGTCCCCCGTGGCTGCGGTGGATCCGTGACCGTAGTTGTAGCCAGAGAACGTCCGTAGCCCTTAGGGCCGTGTCTGTTCCTCCTCCGTGGCTGCTATGGCCATAGCTGCTGCCATCTGCCATGGCTGCCATGGCTAAGGCCATGTGAGGCAGAGACAACGGCCACCAGGGCGGCGAGCAGAACCAGCTGAAGACGGAACACGCATGCTCGTTAGCACAGACATGTCAGAGTGAATTTGAAACGGATCGTCGGCTAGATGTCAGTTTATCAAGCTATCAGCGTTCCTCGAAATTGCGCACGGAGAACTGTATACCAAATAGCCAGCGAAACTGATGGGGAAATAATTTTGCACCCATGATGCAGCTGACCTGGACAGACAAGGAAGGGATTTTCCTAGTGCATATAGCTGATGATTATAACAAGGAAGAGAGCAGACACTTAAGTCACGATATTCTTTGAACTTTGGAAAGTGAAGTTGCATGCTATGCATAGTCTCTACCGTGATCACTTACCACCAGCTTGGCGTCTTCTTGGCTGTGGAGGGGTGTCCAGCTGTAGGAGCAGTGGTGCCGATTGAGGGCAGCTGGCCGCTTATAAGGCGAGGCAACGCTACTTATCTGGCAACGCTACTTGCAGCATTGCCAGACCCCTCCCGATCAAAGTAAATCAAAAACTCGCTGGACGATATCACAGCGCGATGACAGCGCCGTAAAAGCACACGGTAAAATCGTCTCAGACATTTGCCACCGGCGTCATCGCACACCCCAGCTGGCCGGGCTTCAGTTGGACCTAAAGCTGGTTACAGAGTGCGACTAATCTTATGGACCAAGGTTCCGTTCAATTGAGGTTCTCGTTTAATCTCTCATCCAGCGTCCCACCGGTCAACATTCGTGCCCGTGAAAAAAACTGTCCAAAAAATCAGATTGTCCAAAAATTTCAAGTCCTCATGTGAAAGTACTACCTACAACCAACAACGACCACTCCATCCCTCTCCTCTTCAAGTTCTTGCGGTTCTGGATTTTTTCAGTCGAACTAACAGAAACAAAGAAGATAATTATGGCTAGAAATGTGTATCACACGAACTATCTTGAAAATGTCCACAATTGACAATTCGCATCAGACAAAGGGGATAAAGGACTTAGTGACCCGGACTGGTTAGTGACCGAATTCAATCGAGTCAGCTCATATGATAGCAATCCAAAAGATAAGCTCGGCGGTGGTTGGTGCATTGATCCGTGACTGATTTCCGCTGGGCGAGATATTTGTAGTGTCAGTTCATCTGCTGTGAAAATAAAGACTGGTTACGTTAATTCAAATGTCGATGAAGTACATTCACATTACGATGAACATCATTCGCGAACCCTAGAATGGGCCATGCAGTTGTTTCTCACGAATGTTTGCATTAACCGTGGTTGGTGGAATGACGTTAGGGAGCGTGAGACTGCGGCATGTGGCTCTAATTTAGAGAATCCAATTTTGACGAGCACTTGTTAACATACTTGACCGCCATTAATCACAAAATGCTTACTGTGATATCACACATAGCTGTTAAATCTCCTGGTATGGGTATGGCCGTGTGATGTTCAGTGGTTTTGACATGACCGTTCATAAAGTATGCCACTTCTATGCGTTCATCAAGTTTTCGTCTTCTGATTTCACGTAAGGCAGCCTCCACTCTCATGTTTTCTAGTCACGTTTATTAGCATGATATCGTTACGCTTGTCCGTCACTGCCGAGCCTGCTTTCCGTCCCTGCTGACGCGGGAGTAAAGGAAATCAATTGAAAAATACCGGGTTATAAGATTTAAGGTAATGCAAAACGGAACGCAGTTTTATATACCCGTCTGACCGGGCCTGGTCCCGTATAAAGCAACGATGAAGAGGCTCCATCACCATACAAGTTTGGCAGGGTGGACAGGGTATCAAGCATGAATTAGTTCTTAATGAGAAGCGGGCAGGAGCTATAGCCATACAGCCGAATTGTTAGATTGCAATTGTCATTCTCCGTTCCTACTGTGCGTGACCTCTAACCCAATGATGGTATCATGCAATACTTAATACAGACACGCCCATGGGACAGAGTGTGATCCAGTGACGCGTGACCGGCAAGTCTACCGGCACCCCCAACAAGTGCAGGTGTTGGGAGCGCCGGCCGTATCGCCCAGACGGCGACGACAGCTGGACCGACACACAGTCTCCTGGAAGATATGACTTCCTTCATTAGCTCCTAACACGTTAGGAAGTCCGCAAACATCAGCTAATACACAACATTGGATGTATGCCTGCGCTGATAGCTTTGCAAGCAGAAATCCAGTATCAACATACACGTACGGCATTTGACGCAGATCAGAACCAGAATGAAACGGTATCCAGTCTTAGTTGTAAGCAGAGAGGGTCCCAATTGTTCGCCAGCAGAGTAACACTATTGCCTTCATCTGGACGGTGTTTATCACCCCGCGAAATCTCCAACCATGGCAAGTTCATTAAACTACCGACGATGAACTGACCACCAACTTGAAACCACGTTACAGTCGAAGACCAACTTGCATGGTCATGGGCCCTAAGATGGGTAAAGCCAGTACTTCATCAGGACCCTGATGCGGCTGGGGACTTAAAACAGGCATTATTGTAGGTTCTCGAAACAGGCTCTTTTAGATGCTTTCACTTCCAGACTCTTGTAATTTTCGTCATCACCGAGGACGTTGAGGGAACATGGGCTGTGTAAACCAGCATCATGGCGAATCAGCAAAACTGTCGATCGACGCGCAGGACATCATGATAATCGTCCGTCCCGATAGTACTGGTCTCATTTAAAGGAATCCGTAGAGAGCACAACTCGCCATACTTGCCCATACTGTGCGTGACAGAACAGCGTACGGAAGGCTACGCTCGTGAGACAGGATTATAGGTCTACTCAGCTCTTCCAAGGAGATATTCCATGAATTAAAAGAAAAAAGCCCCTAACAGCATCCAAAATAACCCATAATACCGTCAATATATGTGGTGTATGGCTATAATCAGCATCGTTATGCGTGCTATGCTGTTCGGGGAGTCTGGGTATCCGATCGTTTGGCTTACCGTTAGCGAAATGTCCGATATGCTACCACCAATATGCATATACAACATGCTGGCGCAGACGTTTACATTCATCCGACATGACGTCCACATCCGACGACATCCATCCGACATGACGTCATGACGTCCACACGTCGCATTTACAGGAATGGGTGGCAGATGAGAATGATCTGACACATGCAACACAGCATTGTTGCAGCCAACTTTCGCTGCAATATTCGGATATGCGATGCCAAATTATTCCCTCAGGTCGATAACGTCTTACCATTCACAAAGTACCACACATACCTGCGATCTAGGTTATGTACGCTCAGAGATGTACTCTCCGGCACGTGTCACAG